AAAATGATATCCCGTTCTCAAGAGAATGCTTGCATGATTAGGCATAGTGAATGTTGAATGTGTTGTCTCTAAGCATGACATAGATATACACCATTGCATGAACCTCAATCTATCACTCGAACTAGGTGTCTGATAATCAGGTAGGGTAATGATGTGTTAAAAGAGTGTGAGGAAATTGAACTTGCCCGGTTAGTCTTGCAAAAAGTAGTCCGTGTTAGACAATTAGGAAAGGATCATAGGCCCTTGTTCATATTAGCCAATCTTTAGCCTAAATAAAAGAAAAACCAAATATAATTATCCCTTTTTGATCCAAATGATTTGAACTTACAATGTACCTTTTTTTTTCTACCCCAATTCATTGTTTCTAGGTTTAATGTGTTGGCCCTAGTCCATCATTGGACATGTGCACCTCAACTTATGACAAAAGCTTAAGTTGATGGTGGCTAATGCAAAAAACCAATCTCATCTTGGACCTTACCCAACCTTAGGTATTGTGTACCTCGACTCATGGCAAAGCCATGAGTTGAGGGTGACTATTATGAGGAATGTTCCAAAAAGTGGGGTTGAAAGAGTTAATGTAAAAAAATAAAATAAAAGTGACTCAATCAAAGTTTAAAACAAGTGAAAAATTTGAAAATAAAAATAAAAATAAAAGAAGATTCATTTGCACAAAAGGAGGGGAAAAAAAAAGGAGAAAATAAGGCAAAAAATACAAGAAAAAGAAGAATAGGGCAAAATAGACAATGAAAGAGGTAGGGCATCTTAGTCGTAATGTTAAGGAGGGCAACAAGTCACTAAAATGCATCCATATGTACCATACCTGACCCTGATCCTACATTACAAGTTAAGAAAGTCCTATCGTGATCCTAAGAGTCTAATATGGTGAACTTACAGCAGTGAACATAAGGAAAAGTCTATGACGACAAGTATCAATTAGGTGTGAAGTTGTTCTGAGAGTGAGTCTTGAATAATTATTCTCATACTCAAATTTGAAACCACCGTGTGAAAAAGGAGGATATCTTTTGAAGTGAGAACACTAGTTGCAATATTGGAGAGTTGGTGCCTTTGTGTGAGATAAAATAGTAGAGGTGTCGGCGTGGTGAGTCTGTGTCATGGTCTAATCCACATTAATGAGCCTTGTAAGCCTACGAGTGATATCATGCATAAAAGCAATAAAAATAATCGGGATAGATAGCCAGATGATTGTGAAATCTTAAATGAGGATACTTTTGTACAAAGGATTGTGGTGAATCATAGTGTGTCGCTTGAGCAAAAAAAATGAATTTAAGTTGAGGGTGCTGATGTACCGTGGTTTCACGACACTTCCAATGTTTTTTCCTTCAGTTTAGTGTATATATAAGGCTTTTTTGTAGTAATTTTGACATTTTTTTATATGTGTTTGCAGGAAAACTGTCCAAAATGGAAATGTAGAAGAGTGTGGTGAAATCAGTGCATAAGTGATGACATACAGAGACATCGAAGGTTCGTCGACCCATCGACGCTCCATATATGGTGATCGTCGACTGGATGTTCAAGATGCTGAAATAAAATTGGAAAATTCTAATTAAGTGTGGGGCTACGGAGGGATCGACTGTTCGTCGACTGATCGACGGTCCGTCCTGCCAAACTGTTGATTGTAACAGAAAGTAGTCCCAGTACTCGACTTGAAGAAATCACAAAGTATGGAGGAACAGAGGCATCAATGGACCGTAAGTCCAACGACGGACCGTGATGTTTGTCCGTCAGTTGTAACAGAAATGATGAAAAAGTGGAGGATGAAAAAGATTCTAAGTGTGGACCGACGGAGGCAGTCGACGGTCCGTCGTTCCATCGACGGACCGTCAGTTGGGTCGTCGACTGAAGACGCGTTTTGGACAGATTTTTCCTTATTTAGAAATCCTTTTATTTTAGGACTTTATTATTATAAATAGGGTTAAAAACCTTGTTTTTGGGGTTAGACTTTTGTTATTTTTCACACTCTTGTTATTGGAAGTTGAACTTTGGATTTTGGGAATTACTTCAAGTTTTCGGAATCGATTCTCAAGATATTTTCTTTAATTCAAGTGTTATTTCTAGATTTTGTTTAGACCTATCAAATAAGTACATGAATTCTTCTTTAATAAGCATGAATTGTGTATTTCTAAGCATGGGTAACTAAATCCACAACTAGGGTTGTGTCAACCATGGGTAATTAACTAGGTAGAACTTACTAAATAACAATTCTAGAATACGGTCTTGCATGTATAGTTAATTCTTTCATTTAGAATTCTTTTAACGAGTGCATGCATTAGATCTTTTCCTATTGTTACTTGTCAGACCAAGGAGGTAGTTTATAGGAAAAGAATTGTCAATATAGATTTAGTATACACTATTGAATAAGCTAGTGTCAATTGGTGCAAAGTAATAGCTTAGCCATACATTGAATATGATGCTTAATAAGAGGTAAAAGTAAGGTTTAGTAAAGTAGACACACGTAGCTGGACCAAGGTTTGGAGTGAAATTCTCTAGTTTTCGGACCAAGGAATTAGGGATACATAACTTACAACTTTGCATGCAAGATACTTGGAAAGGATTGTTATAGCAAGGATTACCGCGTTATGAACCTATGGGGAACACTTACTCCTATTTTCTCTCATTACATGATAAACACTAAAGTTATAAATTTGGTATTTTTCTTACTTAGAAATAATCAAACACTTTTATTACACAAAACCCCCCTTTTATTAATTGTTTTCGGAAAGGACTTGACTAAATAGATGTAATCCTAGATTAAAGTTAAGTCTAAATCATTTTCTTCGTGGGATCGACCCCAACCTTACAATTGGTTTCTTTACTTGATACGATCGCTTATACTTATTTAGGGAAGTATAATTTGAGCGTATCAAATTCTCTTACGTGATTTGTGAGCTATTGCATAGGAGTGTGGGTTTTACCATGTGCGCAACCAAATGATAGTGGTTGTGGGTTTCCCTTGTCATACAAAAAATGTAATTGTTTTTCCTATGTGTTCAAATATAAGTTATCCGTTCTGTATCACTTACCAAAGTTAAAAAAATTAAATTAATTTTTAATTTTTATCATATCCTAATTTAATTTACTAAAATGAGAGAAAATATTAAGGAAAAAAATAAATTACCGCATGTGTATCATGTTTTTAATCTTGTATTCCTAGGATACTAAGAATAAATCTTTGAAAAACTTGGTAAGACAACAAAGTTTAAGGACATTTTCAAAAGTAGAAAATTAAAACCTGTAGAGAAACTAGAATAAAAATATACTAGGAAAATATACAAAATATTTTTCTTAAATAAGAAATGTGTCAATCTGTATTTAAAAAATCTTACTGCTTTCCACAAACTTTGTAGAAATACGAAGTTCCCAAAGTTTAATGAACCAGCGAAGAACTAAAGAACATAAAATAATTCACAAATCTAAAATCTGTAACATATACCAGTACACAGAAAATAGAAAGAAGATCAAGCTCACTAAATGCACAGTGTCCCCTTAAGGAAATTATTCCCCTCTAGTATTGGAGGTTTGATTTAGATCATGTCCTCTCGGGATAAAATAATCTAAATCAGCAAAGTCACTCAACGACATTAAAGTACACTTAGAATACTAGATTTAGTAGTAGTAGTCGTAGAAGTCCAGATTTTTTTTAATAAGAGGAAGTTTCTCAATTTATATTTATAGAAAAGAAAGGGTAGTGCTAAAAGGTTCTTATTGTGCATCATCGGAAAGGTCACAAACCTTTGGAAAAGTCACAATCTTTCGGAAAAGTCATCATCTTTCATGTAACAATTTTTTCATAGAAGTCACTAGTTTTCATAAAAGTTGCAACTTTTCATAAAAGTAACAACTTTTCGTAGAAGTCACAACTTTTCATCTAAGTCACAACTCTTCATCAAAGTCACAACTCTTCATAAAAGTTACAACTCTTCATTTTTCATTCACATCTTTTAACACCAATCCCCCTCCCCCCCGTGATTGGGGAATGACTCCAAGACAAAGAAACTGACAAGTATGTGTACGTTATAAGCAAGAACCAATTGCATCTGGATAAATAGGTTTTCTCTTGGACTTTCCCGAGTGAACATTTTTCGGATATACTCGGTCCATCGGTAGATGTGATATCTTTGAACCTCTAGCTTTAGTGTATACCTAGACAACCATATGTCACACAATTAACCCTTTACCATTTATAATTTCTATAGTTTTGCTCGTTTCAGCCATGAACATCTCTTGGTTTTACGAGTGTATAGAGAATAGGCTTTTCACAATAATTCTCTTTGAAGCGGCTTACACTTCACACTTATATAAGTGATTTCTAACCGTGTTATCGCGTAGGTATACTATTTGGTCAAATCTTCCAAAATTGCAAATCATGAAAGACATTAAGCTTTATCAACTCATTAACAAGCCTTAATGTTGTATCCTTGTTCCTGAGCATTTTCTTCTACCATACATGCCTCAAATGGTATCATCTCCATGCTCGAATGATAACTATTATTGTAAGCAAACTCTGCTAATGGCAAGAATTGATCCCATTGACCACCAAAGTCAATCACACACGCCCGCAACATATCCTCAAGAACTTTGATAGTCCGTTCAGACTAAACTTTATTTTGAGGGTAAAAGGATGTACAGGGATCCACCCGAGTGCCTAACTCTTTCTGCGTAGATTTCTAGAAAAGACATGTAAATTGGGTGACACGATCTGAAATAATAGACATAGGAACCCCATGCAAACGAACTATCTCTCGAATATATATCTTGGCTAACTTCTCTGAGTTATAGGTAGTCTGAACTGGTACAAAGTGTCAAAACTTAGTCAATCTATCCACAATGAACCATATAGCATCAAACTTATCCAAGGTACCTAGCAATCCTATCACAAAGTTCATAGCAATATGGTCCCACTTCCACTTAGGTATAGGCATCCTCTTTGTCACACCTCCAGGCTTTTTGAGTTCATACTTCACTTGCTAACAATTTAAACATCATGATACGAAATCTACTATGTCCCTCTTCATACGACACAACCAATAATGCTGCTTTAAGTCAAGATATATCTTAGTAGACCCCGGATGAATAGAGTTCCTCGAACTATGAGCCTCCTCCATGATCAATCTAGTCAAATAACTTGTATGAGGAACAGATATACGACCTTTAATCCTCAAAACTCCCTCACTATCAAGAATTGCAGTCTTGGCTTCTCCTTTTAAAACCGTGTCTCTAATCTTAAATAAATCACAATCATCAAACTGTTGAGCCCGAATCTAATCCAACAAGGATGACCTAGCATCTATATAAGCCAAAACCTTACCAGATTCTGAAATATCAAGTCTCACAAAGCTATTGGCCAAGGATTGGACATCCCTAGCTAAAGGATGCTCTCGACCTTGTAACATGGCTAGACTACCCATACTCATCGCCTTCTGACTCAAGGCCTCTGCTACCACATTTGCCTTTCCTGAATGATAATTAATAGTCATGTCGTAGTCCTTGAGCAACTTCAGCCATCTCCACTGCCTTAAATTTAGATCTCTGTGATTGAATATATACTGGAGACTATGATGATTGGTGAACACCTCACAATGCACACTATAAAGATAAGCCTCCAAATCTTCAATGCAAACACAACAGCCGCCAAATCTAAATCATGAATAGGATAGTTCTTCTCATGGAACTTTAACTGTCTCAAAGCATAAGCTATCACCTTTCCCTTCTGCATCAATACAAAACCAAGACCAATCTGAGAAGCATCACAATATACAACAAAACCTTCTCCCTCAATGTGTAGGGTCAAAATCGTAGCAGTAGTCAATAAAGTCTTGAGCTTTTGGAAACTAACCTCACACTCGTCAGACCACTGAAAAGTCACCTCCTTCTATGTCAATCTAGTTAATGGAGATGCAATGGATGAGAAACACTCTACAAACCGTCGATGATAACCTGCAATTCCTAAGAAACTCTAAATCTCTGTAACTGAAGTAGGTCTGGCCCAATCTCTAACTTCCTAAATCTTTTTAGGATCCACCATAATACCCTCATTGGACATTACATGCATGTCCCAAGAATGTTACCGAACTCAGTCAAAATCACACTTTGAAAAAACATTGCATAAAGCTTCTTCTCCTTAAAAATCCCTAGAACAATCCTCAAATGATGCTCGTGTTCCTCCTTACTGTGTGAGTGTATCAATATATCATCAATGAATACAATAACAAATGAATCCAAATACGGTCTGCACACTCCCATTCATCAAGTTCATAAAATTTGCAGGGGCGTTAGTCAATGCGAAAAACATCACCAAAAACTCAATGGCCAAAACCTGTTCAAAAAGTTGTCTTTGATATATTCTCCGCCCTAACCTTTAGCTGATGATAGCAAGATCTCAAGTCAATCTTTGAAAAAACTGAAGCACCCTGCAACGGATCAAATAAATCATCAATATGATGTATCGGGTACGCATTTCTGATGGTTACCTTGTTCAACTGTCCATAGTCAATACACAAACGCATCCATCCTTTTTCTTCTCAAATAACACTGAAGCACCCAAGGAGATACACTCGGTCTAATAAAGCCCTTGCTCAACAAACTTGCAACTGATCCTTCAACTCCTTCAATTCAATCGATGTCATACGATAAAGAGGATTTCAAATAGGCTGAGTCTCTGGCTCCACATCAATACAAAAATCAATATCATGATCTGGTGGAAGACCTAGCTAATCCATCGTAAATACCTCTGAAAATTCACTCATAACTAGAATAACGTCAAGCATAGGAGTCTCAACGCTAGTATCTCAAATATGTGCCAAGTAAGCCAAACATCCTCTCTCTACCAACTGGAGAGCCTTAAGAAATCATATCAAACCTTTAGGAGGGTGGCTAAGAGAACCTCTCCATTCTACTATAGAAATTCCAAGCATAACTAAAGTAATTGTCTTGGCATGACAATTTAAAATTGCGTGGTGAAAATATAACCAACCCATACCAAGAATCACATCAAAATCTACCATATATGAGAACTTTAAATCTCCATGAGTGTCATACCTATCAAGGTAACAATACATAATCGATACACCAGGTCTACACTAATGAATCCCAACAGGAGTAGAAACATGTATCCGAAAATCAAGATACTCACATAATATATCCAGACTTGGAGCAAAATATGTGGATACATAAGAATAAATAGATCCTAGATCAAATAATACAATAGTTGGTCGATGAAAAACCGGAATAATACATGTTATAACAACATCTGAAATATCAGCCTCTGGCCTACCAGAAAAAGCATAATAGTGAGAACGACCTCCCTCATATTGTGAACCTCCATGACCACTAACTCGACTAGAAGGAGAACCACCTCCACTACTCTGTGAACCACTCCTAGCTGGAGGTTATGTAGCCCTTGAAGTCGAAGACCAAGAACCCTAATGTGTGCCACCACATCTGGTCCTAGGGCAGTCTCTCACAAAGTGTCGCATAACACCACATTAACAACCCCTATGAGACGCAGGCTGATGAGAGGAACTTGAATGACCAGAATGTGCTCCACGAACTACAAGTCTAGAAGATGAATCCTGTGAAGTATGCACTGAGCTCGAAGAACTATGCCCATTGTAACCAGCCTAAGACACTAGTATAGCAGCATGAATGGGTCTGATGGACTGAGAGTGATAACCTCTCCCTATGTAACCTCAACTCCTAGGTGGAGCATGTAACGACCTGTTTCATCGTTATGAACAGCGGATTTTATTTCTGGAAAAATAGGCTGAGGCGACGGACCCCACGACGGACCGTCATGAGCACGACGGACCGTCGCAGGGTCTCGTTTCAAAACACTTAGAAAATCTGAAAATTGGGTACTGAAATCGACTCTCTAAACTTCATAACGGAATGGCAGGACGGACTGTCACAGGTGTGACGGACCCTCACAGACTCTTCAGAGAAATTGAGTTTCTGAAGTCTGTGACGGAGCAGCACGACAGACCGTCGCAGGCACGACGGGCCGTCGCAGGCTGCGTAATCCCAGTCTCGGTCGGATTTCTTTATACGTTTTAAGAGACGTATTTGACTATTCCTGCTTTAATTATAAAGTTAGTTGGTTAATGTTAATAAGTCTAATTACTTGGGGGTTAAAAGAGGTAACCTTAAGTTAATTAGTGGGTTATTATTGCCATCTTTTATTCTTAATTATATACTAATTAGGGTAAAAGAAAGGGGGTTTGAATAAAGAAAATAAAAAGAACAAAGAGAGAGAGAGAGGATTGATCGAGAGAGGGGAAACGAAAAGGAAAACACAAAGCTTTGGGAATTTGCTGGCTTGATCACTAATCTTCGGTGGAGGTGGATTATGGTTTCTCTTGCGATATTCGTAGTAAACTCTTAATAGCGAATGATATGTATTGATAATATTGTAAACCCTGCTATGTGCTTAATTGTATGCTTGCATGAATGTAATTATATAACTGTGATTATATAAGCATGATGAAGTTATTGAATCCCAAAACTTGCAAAACCCTAATCTCTTTGTTAATGATGAGGCCTTGGTATAAAAGAAGGTGTGATGAACTAAAATAATGAGATTGATGATGCCTTGGTAAGAAAGAAGGCTTGATGAATTGATAGAAGGAGATTAGGGGATCGGGTGTCACGAACCGACACGTAGATTTAGGGGATCGGGTGTCACGAACCGACACGTAGATTTAGGGGATCGGGTGTCACGAATCGACACGTAGATTTAGGGGATCGGGTGTCACGAACTGATACGTAGATTTAGGGGATCGGGTGTCACGAACCGACACGTAGATTTAGGGGATCAGAGTGTCACGTACCGACACAAGAGAATTAATGAATATGAGGGAGCGGAGTGTCACATACCGACACAAGAGAAATAAAGATAATGAATCTTGAAAGATGTTAATATACTCAATCTAATGAACATAATTCCCAAATGAGTATGGTATTGAGGCTTGAGTCCTCACGTGTGAACTTGACGGTAATTGTTAATGATATAGTACTTGCTGTTGCTACATGTTGAGTATCATAGTTGATTTTATGATATTACTTTGTATATATTGATTTCTATTTTGAGTTGACGATGATATCTACTCAGTACCCGTGTTTTGTACTGACCCCTACTTTTATGTTTTCTTCTTGTTTATTTGTGGAGTGCAGCAAACGTGCCGTCATCTTCGACTCAACAGTAACTCTAGCCAGTCTTCATTACTCCGGTTATCAGGGTGAGCTAATGCTTCTAGCTTGGAATGGATCTTCCTCTTTATATCTTGATGCCTTGAAGTTCCGGCATGGACTAGCTTTTATGTATTTTTAGCTTCTTAGATACTCTTAGATTTAGTAATTTAAAGTAGATGTTCTTGTGATGATGACTTCCAGATTTTGGGATAATAATAGTTATTGATTTTATTAATGAGTTTAAGTCTTCCGCATTACGTTCTGTTTATATTATATTGAAATGTTTAAGGTTTAGATCGGTTGGTTCGCTCACATAGAAGGGTAAGTGTGGGTGCCAGTCGCGGCCCGGTTTTGGGTCGTGACAGAGCACCACCATAATCACCTGAATAATGAGTCATCTTACCCTCACACTGCTCAAATCCCTCATGTTGAATCATCTCCAACTCCTTAGCATCATTTACAACTTTTTGGAAAGGAACACTAGAAGCAACAACCTAAGAAACTCCTTGACGAATCGGAATAATCAACCCCTTAACACATCTTCTCACTCTCTAAGCCTGTGTAGAAAGTATCATATAGGCATGCCTAGCCAAGGCATGAAATTTACCCTCATACTCTGCGACTTATATACCACCTTGCTGCAAACCCTCAAACTCGGCCCTCTTGCGCTCCCTGTCACTATGTGGAACAAATTTTGATAGAAATACCTGAGTAAACTAAGTCCAAGATAGTGGAGGAGATCCAGCTGGCCTACTTTTAATATAATCCCTCCACCACTACTTGGTAGAGCCAGTCATCTGAAACGTTGTGTAGTTAACTCCATGAGACTCCACTAATCCAAGATTATGCAACCTCTTATGGCAACTAGCTATAAATTCATATGCATCCTCAGTTAAGTCACCAGTATAAGTTTGAGGATTCATTAGTTTAAACCTTCTAAACATCTTTTGGTCATCAATTGTCATAGAAGGCATGTTTTCCAAATGTGATGCAATATCTGGAAACTCCACACCATACAAACGAGGAGTTACAACAGCAGCTGGCTGAGTCCTTGGAGTTTGGGAATTTGGAGCAACTATCGGATCTGAAGTCTAACCTCCAACATAAGTCGATGAGCCATTAAAAGTGAAAGGCAAAGCTCCTGCCTGAGCCATCCCCTATAGGATTCGTAACATACGAGCCAAGGTATCTTAAAGTACTGGGGTGGAAATAGTATTGGGTGGATCCTGAGCTGGTCCCCCTCGACACGATCTTGCACATCTCTATGAATAACATATGTATCAAGAGGTAC